TTAGCACCTCAAGGAAATCTTCTTGGCATTTCAGCCTAGAGTAAAAAAAATTCTAGAAGCTTTTCCTCATTGAAATTGCCAATGTTCAGTGAATGCCATTTTACTGACGTGCCTGTAGGATCCTGTACCAAAGTTCAGGATCTTAAGATGGTGAAATTGGCACAGCACAGATCTACTAGCATAGATCTATCTACAAGATCACTCTGTGCATACACAATAGAAACCTAATGAGAACTTTTCTTCTCTGTTTGTGATTCAAACCACCCTTACAGAGAGGAGACAATAACACAGATTCTATGTTATAAGTATTAAGGTCTTGTAGGTTATTCAAAGTACATGCCGTACAGCATGTCTCCTGCTGATACTGTTCAACCCTAGATTATAAGGAACCCCTGTAATACACATAACATCTTACTATTGTCCAAAGTTTTTGATGCATCTCAAAGGCACCAAAAAAACCTTCCACCTAGGCTATTACTGTATAAACATTTACATATTAACAGAATAAGAAAAAAAAAAGAGATCATAATTCATGATGCTCTTGAAAAAAAAAAAATAGTCATAACTGAAGACATGAGTATTGGTATAACATTTGTAATAGGTATGTTACACCCTCAGAATGTCTAAAAATGTCTAAATACAACCATTATATATCATAAGCATGCCACCTTCTCAATTCTGATGAGCCCTGCCACTCATACTTATATAAAAATGTACTTGAATGCATGTGTGGGCTGTGACACAGACATACTTGTCACATGGGTGACGAACTCAACCAAATGAAAACCCTTCTCATTTACCAAGCACACCAGCCACGCTTCCCCTACATTTCTCCACCTAGCTCCAGATAATCAAATGAATGAATCTGATTGAACTGATCTGCGTAGTAATAGGAACAATTCTGCAAAAGTACTTCCAGTTGGTTGATAGGAATTGTGAGAAGTAAACAGAAAGTAGCACACACACATTTTTTTTTGGCTCCAGTTTGGGATGCCCTGACTAACATATTGCCTCAATTCCAAACTTCTGTTTATATCATATTTCACTGTCTTAAGTTCCCCGTACATTTCAGTATATCTTTAGATAGATGACAGGCAGACACAGATGACAGACAAATATACATTACAATGGTGACACAAGAGCACTTTCATACTGAACAAAGCAGACTTCCCATTTTAAGTGCTATTTGAGCTCTTTGACTATAGAAACAAAACAACAACAGAAAATCCTCCCTCATTTTCTGATCAACTTCTCTCTTGTATACTACTGAGAATATGATTTTTAGTTAAGACGGGTCTTTGTAAGATATGAGACCATGAAAAATTATTTTTCTTTTTTTAAAATTTTTTTAAATCCAGTCTTAATTTCTGTATGACTTTAAAGTCATACAGAAAGATAATTTGTTTTTAAAATCCACTATTCTGTAACGAGAGCTAGAGTACAGACTTAACTTTATGAAGGTTAACAAATACTGGGGTAGCTGAGGTAATTTCTCTGTGTTTTAAAATTTCATTTCATAATAAAGCTTCAAGAATAGTATGATTTGTTCACATTCCAATATATATATATATTTTTTTTAAAGAGCCCTTAGATTAAGCCCTTTTTTAAAGCCCTTAGATTAAGCTCCTCATCATAATAGTCTTCAGATTGCAAAACTATCATTATGGTCTGACTGTATTTTTAAGAGAGACTTTGCTGAGAGTTCACTCAAGTTCCAGGATTGCAATCCTGGAGAAATTCAAGTCCTAGTGCATTTTTATCATCATCTTCCCCTCTCCTTCAAGCAGCATGGTTGACCAGACAAGCCATAGCCCTCCTTCCAGCTGCAACCTCTTCAATAAGCACTTTCTCATATTCCAAGCCCCTGAAAAGCAGGTACTTTTATAGGCACAGGTACACAGATGTGGATACACGCTGCACTACGATGGCCAACTGATGAAAGCAATTAAATGCCCCCATCCCCTCCATTCATACCCTAGTCCCCCAACTGACAGACCCTACTCCATACCACAGCACCTCTAAGGGCAGCACTGTTACCAGATTTTCTCAACCAGCCCATTCATCTCAAAGCTCTTAACTCTCCGGACACAAGCCCATGGGCAGGAGCACGGGAGGTCTCTGCTGAAACAACTAAAGGCAACTCACTGCCTTGAGCCAGGGAAAACCACATCGCCTGCAAGCCTAAGAGATGTGACATGAACCCTCAGGAGAAATAAGCCACACGGTGCTTATTCAAGCCCACATAGTGACTCTGCAGAGTCACATGCTCTTCCCAAACAGTTACACACACAGAAAAGTCACAGCCAGTGCAAAACTTCTGAATTCTTGAATATGGAAGAATATTCTTCCCTCTCCATGGCATGCAGCTAAAGTATTTTGTAAACCATATGCTATAAAAAGATAATTTATAGTCAAAATGCAAATCTTCAGAATATCCGTCTATGGGGCCCCTCCATAAATTCGTATAAAACTATCAAGGCTCAGGCTTACAGCACAGCATAACCACGCTGAACAGGGTTTCAGCTGCTCTCCAGGTTCTCTGGTATTCTGGATACTTTCCAAGAAGTAATTAATAGAGTCAACATATTCCCAGTATTTGGTGTTGATTCTGAACCACACAAAACTGTCTCCTCTGAGAGTACTGAACTGCAGAACACATGAAATCACATCAGACGCTTTCAGATGTGGAACCTACACAATATTTGCTGCGGATAATAAAAATCTCATCAGCCCTTATTCAAGGCTGGATAATAACAATCTATTTTCTGTCAGAGCCAGGGACGTTTAAAAAAAAAACATGTCATCTCCTCCAGTTATGAAAAGAAAGAGCTACTTCTACAAAGCTTTATTTTACAGCAGCATCAAAATAATGTGAACACCACACTGGAAGCACCATGATGCAATACAAGCTTCGTATAATCCAGTTACCTACCATCAGATTACCGTAGAAGGGAAAAAAATCTGCAGTTTATGTAGTGCTTCCAAAACAGCTGTATTCACAAGCAACAGAGGGGCAAAGCCCTGTGTTTATTTCTGGAAGATCTACACAAGAATAGTGTCAAAACCAGTTTGGCTGCGTGCTTCACCTGCAGCTGGCAAGACCATTTCTACAGCTGAAAGGGTCATTCAAGCTTTTATACCCCTGCAAGGTCCTGCCCGCTGAGCTTGCCCACAAGGATGCCAGTTCATTCCTGGTAAACAGCCTTGCTTGCTCATTCCCACCACGCAAGAAGCCACAGCTTCAGCAGAGTGCTCCGGTAAAGTTCTGACTATTGAAGAAGATCCAGTGTCCTCTCCAGAAGCACCATGTGAGTATTTCCAACAGCACTTCCAGTGCTACCCATCTCTGTGATGTACAGCCACACGCCCAAGCAAGGCATTATCAAATATTAATGTGATATTCTCACATTATCAAGTCAACAACGAGAAGACAATGCTGTGAGGAAAGATCTCTAGCAGTTGGTGCACTACAGAGGTGACACAGATGTGAAGGGAAAAGGGAGAACTGTAATGAAAGAGGAATGCCTAAAAAGCATTCAAATACGAATGACTGTGTTTTGTTTAACAGAACATTAACTTTTTTCTTATTTACAGCTCAAAAATGAACACCAGTTTGCTGCCTACCCAGCTTTTTCTCATTTATACCCAAACATAACCCTTGCCCAGGGGCAGGTATTACCAGACCCTGAGGCTAAGTCTTCGCTGCCTGAGCATTAGTTTCATCAAGCTACCGTAATTCTTTTGATTTCTCAAAGTCAGATTGTTAGCACACACATTATTCAAACCTTTAAAAACACTGGATGTCTAAGTGCTGTTTTACAGATGCCTATCTCAGGGATAGCTCATGAAAAAGATCTAAAATAAATTGTCCGTGATCTTAAATTTACTTCCCACATGGAAGATTTTTAAGGCTTAGTGAAATAACAAATGCCAACGTGCTTGCCTCATGTTTTCATCTTGCAAAATTAGGTAGTGCTTCTAGCCTTCCACAGGAGAAGCAAATATCATTTAAAAAAACAAAACAAAACAAGCTCTGCAACTGGGTCTCAGTAAATCACCTAACTACTGGATACATAAATGAAATAAATGTTTATTTCTTCTAGTAATTGAATACAGGAAGTACACAATTTTCAAATGGGGCTTTCCTGTTCCAATATCAGATATTAAAACTTCATTACCTAGTTGTAATTACTTCCTCTTCATTACATAGTTTATAGGTAAAGAGGGAGATGGTTAATACACACGTGGTACTCCACAGAACAAGTGATGCTGATTATGCAAGGACACATGACTGCGTCTTCACTCAATTAGCCAGAGAACTTGGTATCCAGCTTTTTCTAGCTTTATACAGGTTCACGCAGGAGAGCATAAATCATGCCAGCACAAGTTTAACCTGCCAGGAATTTCACAATGCATTTGAACCATCAGAAGGATTTTATATCCCACAAAAATTCTGTGGTCAATTGATGAGATCTGAAGAGAATATAAAGTGGAACCAGAAGGGGAGAAGAGGAGGAAAAGGGGAATGAATGGTGGCAGGTGGTGGAGGAGAAGCAAAATCCTAAATAATCAGGTTGGGCAGAAAATGACTCTTCAAGCAGGGAGAGCCAGAACAATGTAAGGGACAATCTTCCAAATGCATTTGGGTTATCCAGGAATACAGCTGTATGGTATCAGGTGACATGGAAAGCAATGAGCTCATTTCTGTAGCAAAGTGGTGGCTCTAAGGAGTCAGGGAAGGAAACATTCCAAGAAACTGTGTCAAGTTTCTTGCATGAGAAATTGGGTTGATTTCACCTTATGCATCTTTATATCCTGAAATAACCTCACAATGTAAGCCCTGTCCTCCCCCTCCCATCCTAGAAAGCAATAAACAGCACTCATCCTCGCTACAAAAATAATTTTTAAAAAATAAATAAATAAAATACACCACACAGCCATGGTACAAACCAGCTCTTGTGAAAGGGAACAAGGAAAAACACAACAGTGTTGCTACTTACATTCTTGTATTGCTGGTCTTGTTAATAATTACAGATTTTCCAGTCTGATCCACATTGTGATCCATTCCAAAGTAAGCTGCCACTCTATGCACTAACATCCTCTGATACGACGACATCTGAGGGAACTTTTTATAGTGATTACTGGAAAAGAAGAAAACAAATCGCATTGATAATAACATTTCCCTCTGAGCTATAATTAAATGAAAACAGCAATGCATTCAATAATTCACTGGACAGAAATCTAACTGAAAAACTTCTCTTTTGTGCATTTACATATAAATGTTTGCTACAAGAAGGCAGAAAAAACAAAGGGAATTCTTTTTAGAGTTTCTAGTAAGCACATTTCCATGCACTACACTGAGACAAACAAAGCTCATGCTTCATGCTGTCTACTGAGTATTCTGTATATTGAGAAGAACTCATCCTCTGACCCTGCACACACACTCACGCTCCCTGCACAAACAATCCTGCAGGTTTGCTGAGACACTGGCAACAGCTTTCTGCCTTTCTCCCACAGGTCAGTTGCAGGGTGATGCTGGAAAGATTTAGTTTGGCAAATATTCCTTTTTTTTTTTCTCTCCTCTCTTACTGAGAAAATGCTTATTTCCCATCAGCATAATTTCTTCCTCTGCTGCTATTCAGACTCTCTATTTTTTAAAGCTGGAGAAATATTTTATTATAAAGAGCACACGGTAGCAAGAATCCTTCCACTCAAGTTCAGTTTTATTTTCCAGCACATTAGAACAACACGGCACACAGGGAAACCCATCAGGTTGTGTATTTGATCATCCTCTGCACTGAAAACTTTCATTATATTTTTGGACCTGAATGAGCAGAGCCAGTGTAATTATGACACAATAAAAAGCAAAAGGTTTTCATTTACATCTACTGTTTTTTAAGCAGTACCATCACGTGTCAGGCAATAAAAGCCTGATCTCGCAGCATGCGGGTAACAGTGTTCAAGAGCACTGAGGTCCAGGGAGCACATCGTGTCCCTCGCACAGCTTGCACTGCCACACGCACACGTGACTCAATAACCAGGTATGGAACTCAACTTACTTGTTGTCACTAATAAAATCAATAATTTCCTGTTCCATTTTCAAGAGTATCATTCTGTCCCTGTCAAAAAGAAAGGCAAGGATTTGTAGCATCATCTACCAATAGACATTTTAGATGAAAAAAAATGGATATATCAATGTTTTCAAGGCAATCTTGCAAATGTTGTCAGGCATCCTGATTAACAATAAAATGTGCTTTGCCTGGTGCATCTGGAGAAGACTGCAGCCTGCTTTGCTGCACTTTTGCTGACATATGTGACAGATTTAGCTATTCCTTGAGCTCAACTATGGTCTGAGAGTGCTTCCAACCACACCAGGCTGTGATCAATGCACTGCATAGAAAGACTCTGACTGCTATGGATAGCTTTGGTCCTTTTTTGCTGTTTTTTTGATAGAAAATGAGATTTCCAGCTAACCTAGCTCTTTCACGAGAGGAGCTGCTACCTATAGAAATTTTTAACATTTTGTCTGAGACATATCTTCCACGATGCATTGATCTGCAGGCGAGAAGACTGGGCACATCTAATCTAGTTAGAAAGCACAGTGGAGAACAACGCCTTTGAACTATGGCTCCCAGGAGGCAATGCTGCAGCATTTCTCAGTCAAAGTGTTCTGTTTTCAACTGGAAGGTCTCAGATGTTCCTTTTTCTCCCCCCCTCCTGCCAAAAACATTCAAAAATTCCCCCACTGTATTTCCAAACATATATTTTTTTTTTCCTAAGCTTGACAGAGTCCATCACTCTTTAGTTCTTTTGAACTTTCTCATTTTGTGCAGATAAAACAATTCAAGAACCTTCCATCATCTATACAAGAGGTTATGCAAGCTGTTAGGTACCCAATTATTCCTAGTTCTCCTATAACTGCAGAATTACATGGTACTTACTTAACAGATTCAATTGAAATGAATGTTAAAAAAAATCACAACGTATAGAAATGTTACAGATCTTTCCTTTGACATTCAGAGGCAAATTTAACAATGAGATGAGCTTGTTGCTTCAAATAAAAACTATGAGAATACAGAGAGCAGAATTTGCACTGTGTACAGGATTGCCAAAAGAAAGCTACTCTATATTAATATAAGAACCTCCAGCTGCAATGGTCATAATGTATTGCTGCTAACATCACATATGCAAGAAGGTAAGGACAAAGGCCAGATGATGCTGAAAGTGAAATTAAGCAATTGATGACTGGATAGGAGAGTAGAAGTTGATGACTTTTAATAGCTTTTTGCTCAGTTAATAGCCCACCTCCTTTACATTTCCCTCATAACAATTTCCAGAACTAATAAAACACAGTGTACAGTTACAGGACCTCGAAGACTGCCAGCTATAATTTCAGGAGTGGCAGCTCTACTGCAGAAAATACCTACCTGGGGTTATTCTTCAATGTGTTAATGAGAAACTCATGCAAATCTATGCCTGTTGAGTCAGTATACTCTTGACTGCAATCTGAAAAATAAAAACAAACATCCCTCCACTCATTTATTTCAACAGTTATGATTAAGCTATGCTATAAATCAAAATCCATTTTTCAGCAACAATCTGAAAGTACATGCTCTGAAAAATAAAATAAAAATCATTTGGAGTTCAGCCAAGAAAAATCTACACTCAGAAGCATCAGGTGGACATTCATGGTTCCTCTGCACCTTTCTACTGAGAATACAGCACCAAAACTAGATACTGACAGAAACTGCTGGTCATTTGAAAATCATGGAAAACCTTTGATGCGACTCAAGAATCTGCCAAGTTCTTCCTTTAAACCACTAATTTTTTTTTTTTTTTTTAAGTGTTATTCATCAATGTCCCTTTGTATCACTTAATAAACCTTGTACACATGGCAAATGAGGCATCATGCCAGTGGGAATTCTATTTGAATTAACAGACTGAAATCCAGTGACAGTCGAGAGTGGGCGGGTAATGGAGATGCGTGACAGTAGTCAGAATTAATTTTTCAGCATTGCTACATCACTTGATTCAAAAGTACACACAGATCCTCAAGCTGGCGTGAACTGTGAGAGCTCCATTGAAGCAAACTGACAGTTCACACCAGCTGCAGATGCACACCCAGGTAGGCAACGATTATTTTTGAGAGATTACACTGCAACTTTATACCACGGATTAATAAAAATATTTTTAAAAACCCCAAACTAATTTAGATACAAGATCTTTTCTGAAGAAGTCTTAGTAGGTGATAATAGTAGATCACAATGCAGGTTAAAGGTCTTGGATGGATTTCCTTACAGCATTTAAAAGAAATTCTCCATGAGAGAAGAGCAATAGTGAAGAGGATTACTCTTTACTGTCTACGCTGCATAAGCGACATGCCAATATATTATAATTAATGAGGAAAAAAGTGTATTAGAGTCTTACACTTATTATATAATCACTCATATATTTACATATATTTGTGTTTATCCCAACACAGTTAAGTATTCAGAAGAATGATTTTGCATTAAAAAAAAAAAATTAATAGCCTCTAATACCAAACTTCAGTTTGGAAGGTTTCTTCACTTTCAAAGACCAATGTTTGTATGAAAAACACTCTCATGCACATACATTTCAGGTTCTGAATTTTCTCAAAGTATGAAAACATTTCTACTTTATATTTATACACAAATAAAGAAATGCATGCTTATAAAAATATACAGTCTTTTTTGTAACAGTAATTATAGCAAATTAAATATTTTTAAGTTCACCTTTCGATAACATTCTGATCTTGTTTTTTTCACTGTTTTTATCTTTTTCTTTATTTTTATCCTTCTCTTTTTCTTTCTCTGAGTCATCTTTACTAGATTTATCTTCTTCTTGCAAGCTAGGAAAACTTGAAAGCTGTAGTTGGATTGATTCCTGTTGGGGAAAAAAAGAAAGGTAAATGCAGGGCCAGATTGAGTAAGCTCACCATGGCTTCCAACCTGCAGAGACTTGCATTAAACTATGTGTAGCTAGAAAAGCTGAAGCCAGATACATTTCTTTCCTATTTGAAAAATTATTTTTTTTTCCAGGAGAATAATGGCATCTTAGAGGCCAAATTCCAGTGGTAAGTGTGTTTCTTCCCTAATATTTTAATATTATTAACTTTTAGTCTACCTATATTAGAGGCATTATATTATTCTATACTTTAGTAATTCTCACTTAAGATTTATTAGAACAATTAAATATTTTTATATGGGCTTTCTTAAGTAAATCTATAATCTAATCAATACTCCACATGTTAAATGATGATGAACGGAGAGACACCTGAAAAACATAACTTTTTTCCCCCCTCACTAAATTACCTGCAGGTTCATATGAACTGTTTTGCACATGTAAGCGCAGTATCAGCTAGACTGAGCTTTCAGGCTCTGATAGTAGAAGAGTGCCAGCAAATTATAAACTCAGCTGTATACAAGAGGCCTTACTAACTTATCAGGTACTTTATATTTAAAGGCAGATGCAAATATGCCTTCAGTAAAAGGGGTTAAGCGTGCACTATTATTTTCAAGTAAGTTCTGGTGAGTGAACTCCTTTAAGGCATCCTAAGTTTTATCCTCACAAGTTGAGTATTTCAGAGACTGAGAGTCCCTTTGAAAGCATGCTTCAGCTTTAAAACATTAATCAAAACTGAGAATTCAAGCTGGTTTGCATTTTCCAATTTGCTTTAAAGAACTTGTTTTTCCCGACTTAGAACATGACTTTATACTGGCTTTGTTTTAACAAAACACAAACTATGTTCTTTGAAGTTACCATGGCATAATTTATATATGTCAAAAAATATCAATCTGGTTGGACAAAATTTAAGAAAGCATATTCCTGTGTTCATATATTTTTGGAGAAAAAAAAAAAGCCAAAATTATATATATGCTTAAGTAGAGTAAAAACGCACCTTTGAATTAAGCTGTCACAAACCTCCCTGGTGATGAAGTTTTCTTGCAGGATGAGAGTCCTGCATGCCTGATAATTTCTTGGCATCATGTTAATGAAAACCAAATTCACCAGTACTGGAGAAAATCTGAGTTTCTTGAATGCTAGTAAATTCTCTTCCTTCACAATTTTTCAAAGAATACTACCATACTAAAAGATCAATACAAAACTTTAAAGCAAGGGGTGGGGTTTTTTTAAGCAACCAGACCATTATCAATTCAAAAGATGCTTTTGATAATTATTGCAAATTTTAGGTTTCTGAATTTTTTAAGGAATTACAAATCAGCCACCACAACACATGTAAGACAAGATCCTAACAGAACAAGTTATCAGCATAAACATGCCACAGTAAGACAGAAATCGGCAATTTCTCAGCTTAATCATTATTGACTTTTTGTGAAGTTTGAATGTGGCACAAAAGACTGGAGATGAAAAGCACCATAAGAGAGAAACAAAGCCCTAGAACCAAAATTGTACCTGAACTACCATCCTTAATCCCTGCTTCTGTTAGTATTGGTTGACAGTACTGGTGAAAAACTGAGTGTACAGAGG